AGCAATCTAACCTCAGAATAGAAAGAAAAAAAAACCATAAAAACCAGACAATGGCAGAGTTCTGAAATCATCATAAGATAATTCAGTCACTTCAATCACCTAAATAGTCAGAATTGTTAGAGCGTAAGAATTAGTCTCCAAATCTTTGGAAGCTTAGTTCTTAATACAAGAATTGACACCGATTTAATTAAATATAAAACAGGACTGAGTTTTTCACTGTGTCCTAGTGCACTTACCTGGGCGTTCCTGCAGCATCCTCTAAAGATGAAAGCATTCCTTCCAAAAACAGTATCTACATATACTTACTTGAAGGGTTAAATTACAAAGCAAGAGGCCAAAAGCAAGCTGCTTATTTCACTTTGCATGATATTTAAGGTGGCTGCATGTATATTCTGGGCAAAACAGAAAAAAGTTACCTTAGAGGTGTCAGCCAAGCTCTCTCTGTTGAGCAGTCACTGGAATATGGAGCCAACCTCTCACAATCAAGAGGGAGCAGGACGCCAGAAGCAAGTCAGCCTGCAAGATGTTGTATGGAAATCAGTTAGCTAGTGCTAAATTGGTGCTTATATGGATCTTTACTTGCTCATCAATTCAGAACATTTGAGAGCATGCTTTTCCTTATCTGTGGGACCAGAATTCACAGCAAACTCCTTTCAGGACGCAAAGGCTCTCACAGGTTCCTCTGGGCTCTGACATGCTCTCTACCAAAGGTACCGCTGGGGCTGAGGAGACCACTCCCTCCACCCCTCAGCTGAAGATCATCAACCAGCAGGTAGAGCAAAACAGGACGCACGCCTGTTCTTCATCTGGCCTGGTTCACAAGACACTGATGGGTATTAACGAAGAAAGGTTGAAGCTTAGCATATTAAACTGCGGCGGCTGAACAGGCCCTGCTGTAGGACCTAATACAAGGGAGGTAGCACTTGGCAAAGAAGCAGGACAGCTGGTGGAGGAGATAACCTTTCTAACTACAAAAGCTAAATCAGACACAGCTTATCTATTGGAGCTCTCAACCACGTGTAGTAACATCCTACCAGCACAGGCATATTATACACCTCATAACCTTTTTTTTACTGCTTTTATCAGATTTGGTTGACCCAGATCTTCCACTAATATAATTATGGCAGCTACGCCCATGTTATTTTTTAATAGAAACAATTGCACCGATGTTAACTACTGTGGATATCATTATACATCTAGAGAGGCACTCTACTGCAGCCAAGCTTATTCCTGTACTCCCACAGAAGGGGATAAAATAATTTGTTGCGAATGAAACTGGCCACATCCTGACAGGGGTTATGCAAAATAAAAGAAAGCTTAAAGAAGCTTATCTTTTATACACAGTGAACGCCGCACAAAATGCATATAGGCAAGGCTACCAAAATAAATGAAGGCAAATGACTTGCTCCTTAATACTATGCACAGATAGTTTGTACCGATGGGGACTATATAGGAAGCATGGGCAGCCCAACACGCCAATTAAGAGAACTGCATCTATTAGGAGGTAGGTCTACCCGAAGAGCACGCCGGGAAAGCCAAAAATAACAGCTGCTGCCACATCAGAACAGCACCAGCTCTGCGTACAGTGATGCCTGCAAAACAGAAACCAGGCAGCCATGCACAAACACTTCCTCTTCCTCCCCCCACCCCCACGACAGCAGCAACAAACCTGAGATTAACCACGGGCCAGCATCCTGCTCTGCGTTCCCGTCACACCAGGAGTACAAAAGGGTGAGACTAATAGCTGCTCCTCCATACATCTGAAGGGTTCTTTTGGTTTACAGCAAGTAATACAAACACTTGACACGATTCTTGCAGAGCTGTCGCATTTTCTACTTTGCTTTCACTCCTTTTCTCTAGCTCAAATATTTCAGAGCTCACTGGGGACCCCTCGTATTTACTAGACTTGTTTTTGATACACTCCTCCTCACAGACTGAGAAGTCATAAATAAAAGCAGTCATTCCTGGGCCAGTCACATTACATAAACAAGCAAGAACAGAGCCACAGCTCTGCTGAGCTGTGACACACAAACTCTGCAAGTCAAGTTCAAACCTAAACCCTGCCCAGCACCAAGACTGATGGTGTGACACTGTTAAATGCAAGAGCAAACAAATCAGGCTGCAGTCTCCTGTCAACACGAAGTTCTGAGACCGTAAATCCCTGCAGCAACACTCAACTGTGATGCACGTACAAGCTAGTTCCCAACTGGGAGAGTGGGGAATCTGATGGCAGCAAGTGAAGTGCCTGGGTTAGAATGCAATGCCCAAGCAATGGCCAAATCAAGGCCTCTGTCAAACTTTATGGCTTCAGTATCTGCATTTCAACCACAAATGGAAGAAAAATACCTCCTCTAGAGCACAGGCTGTGGATACTCAACTTCAAACCTACCACCTAGATGTCTTATCCCAAGGGAAACCACAAGACGGTGCCACCCTACACCCCCGTGTTTCTGTCAGAGCCCACCAGATCCACGACAACCTTTAGGCACAGGGAAATCAACTGAAAACTGAAATCTAAAAAGACAAGTGACAAAACCTTTTCAGAAACATTTGGTGATCCTCTGAACCAAAGAGACCATGCCCTGTAAGCAGATGGTCAACAAACCGCTCCAAGCTTGTAAGGGGATCGTCATCTTGTGCTAATCAAATTCAACAAGGTCACATTTTCAGAGTTTGATAATTTTACCTGAAACAAATAAGCTCCATATATAGGGGAGGGAAGGAGAGGAGAAACAAACCAGGCAGCTCAGATGAGAATCGCATGCAACTGCATGATTAAGAAGAAATCATAATGCTTCTGACCAAAGGCTAATTAGCTGACTAAGGGTACAGGTCCTACTTCAGCCCGGGCACTTTTTGACCTCTGAGTGCTTGCTGTTCTAACCTTGACTTCTCACTAAGTGCAATGGTATACAAAGTAACTTGCAAGTCAGTTGGCCTACACAATATGCCATGAGAGGGGATCCCAAAGCACATCAAATTTTGCTGTCTAGGGTATTTTCATAAGAAGGACATGCCCAGTACTGTCATCCTGACCATGTCCTGATGACAATGATACTATTCACAAAAGTGGGAGGAAAGAAGCAAGGACTCTACTGTTCCGTTTAATTTTTAAATATATGAAAATATGTATTTTAAAATATGTTTTCATGTAGCTACATAAAAACACATTGTTGTCCTGTTTCACAGTCAAAGCACATGTTGCTCTGAACTCCATTCTGCCAACAGCGCTATGTTCTCACCATTACCCTCGCACCACCAAAATCATTTAAGCACCCACAAAACTGGGGAAAAAAAAAAAAAAAGTCAGCTTGTCTTCAGTTTGATCAGTTCATAAGTCAGGGAACTCTGATTCCCACCTGCACAAACACCCAAGCTGCCACCAGTGACAAGGCAAGAACCTCCCGTTGGTTGCAGTCTATACTTACAGTGACTTAAAAGTGACTGCAAAGCTACACACGGAAGGTGACACAACCAAAACTCCTGGTGACTGAAAGTTGGTCCTAGAAACCATCTCCTTTCTTATCTCAGCAGTGAATTGTGCTCACTTGCTATTTTTTATGTAAGAAACACGCTAACCTGCCTACTGGATAATGAGAGTAGAAACTAACCTAGGAAAGGCACACACACTGGTCAGAAGAGGACCCTGCTGGCATACCCCACCCTTTCCACCCCTGTGGACATCAGAGATTCCTGGGGTAATGTCCTTGTATACAACAGGTTCCCCCTCAAGGGGCCGAAGATCATTTCCCTTGCTCTCCCAAAAGTCCTTATCAGACAGGAAACAAAGGCAATGCCATGAAAAGGACACTTCAGATCCGTATGACAGGCTCTAACCGGGATGGCAGAGGCTGTTCATCCATGTTCCCGGAAATGGTTGTGCTGAAAGAGCCAGGGAGGGTTTGAAACACTCTCTAATGCTACTGGAAATAAAATTAGCATTAGAACATTTCAAATATTGACAAAACAAGAGTTTTATGCAGTTGAAACAGCAACCCAATGTTATCCTGCTATATACAGAATTCACACTTCATCTTCTCACAACATACCGCTTTCCTTCCAGCTCCAAGACAAAGCACTTACCTTAGGTCAGGGCGAAACTAACCCCACCACCGAAAAACAAATATTTCTCCATCTCAACAAGGAAGTGTTACACAGTATTAGGATGTCCCTAACAGACCTAGTTAAGGTTATAGTGACAACATCTAATAACCGATATATCTAATTCTACATTACTTCCAAGCTCCTGACAGAGTATCTGTAAAACGGAAATCACTTCATTCAGTGATATATAAAAAGAATGCAGTATTTTTCTCCATTGAAAATTCGACCATATGCACATAGATCAGTGTATCAGCTGCAGGTGACAGCCCAGTACAAAGAGACTTGCACAAGACATTTTAGCATACTATTTTGTAAGATGAGCTACCAATTAATTTTACACAAACAGGCCTACCAACTTTAGAAATATTACATTAAGAATCAGCAGAGACTGAAGCCCATACTGTTCTGGCACCATTCAGTGCTTTGTTAGCAAAGGTCAATCTTGGGATCTAGCTTTGGAAGCTCTAAATACCAAGTTAAGCCAGGTGAACCCGAAGGGAGGAAAAGCAGATGGAGCAGAAACGCAGCAAGACAAGGTGAAATGGGAAAGGTAGCACATACTATAATGATGGAAAGAAAAATGGGGGCCTTGCTGGTTCAGAGCTTTAAGATGGAGAGACATGGGGCCTGGCACCAGTTTGAATTCAGAGTAGCTGAAAACTAGAGTCAGTCTCGCCTCTCCTAATCCAAGTCCTACTTTGAAACCCCAGGGAAGGCTGTTGGTTACAGTCCAGGTCTGCAGACCCATAAGCACATCCGCCTCCAGGGACTGAAGGCATCTTCCAGCAACCTCTGGGGCAGCCAGCATTACCAGAGCCTGCCCACACCACCTCCTCTGAGGGGGTGCCAGTACCTGGGGACGCAGGAAGGGCCCCCAAACCCACCAGCTTCCTCACCATGTTGGCTTCATGGTAGCACCGTGGTCTGCCGAGTTCCTTCCTGAGAGCTGCTCCTGTAGAAGGGCACAAAGAAGGGGGGAGGGAGGAGGGGGGCAGACGCTAGATCTGCTGGCCGGGCCGGACCCCTGGCAGGGGCAGCAGGGCCAGATGGGCAGGGCAGGGCAGAGCAGGGGGACAATCCTCCTGCCCCAGACGGGCCTCGCACGGGGCAGCACCTGGCTCTCACCCCCTCACA